CTCTTATATTGAGCGATGAAAAAATAATAGAATATAATTTTATTTTTATATTTCTATATCACAATAATCTTCCAGTTTAGAACTACAAGTTAAAAAAGAACTAACATAAATAAATTACACTTTAGCTAAATACTTGTAATTTATTTCCCCAAACCAGGCGGAGCCGCAGTATAAGGACTAAAGAGCCGCATGCAGGTTGCCGACCTCTGGTTTAGACTGATATCAATACCTGTCCTTTGGTTTTTAGCCTGGATTTATTCAGATGTGATGGATATTTGAACATTTATTATCAGATGTCTCCATCTTGTTGCTTTCTTAATTCTGTGTAGAGTTAGAACTTAAACATGAATCTGACATTCAAAGTTTTGAAAACTTTCTCAGATTTTTCAGATTTCTTCTCTATCAAAGTCGGTGAACGGTTAATAATCAAGTTGGCATATCCTTACAGAGGTGATAAAGCTTAAAGAGTAGAATTCAAAGTTGGTAGCTCACTTCGTTTAAGTTCTATAAATGCCTTTAAAAACCTTACGTACTTCTTTGTTTTGTGTCATGCGTAAATAACTTCATTACCTTCTTCAAATTCCAGTCTCTTTGGCCAAAATTGATGGCGGCACAGTGACCAAGTGTAACTTTGCTGGAGACGATAAGGCTGGAGCTTCATGGACAGACAAAATAATGGCCAACAAATCAGACACCAGCAGCACTCGGCAGCCTGGAGGAGGAGGCGAGGGAGCAGAGGAGGACGAATGGGTGAGGACCAAATCTCTAAACAAATGAAATGACTCGCATAATATCAGGGATGTAGCCCAGATCGGTGGTTTGTCATTTATTTTTCCTTTTCTTACAAATTCCTGAAAGAGTTTCTTTTAATTTCCTGAAAACTAACTCAAAATAAAGAGCAGCCGCCAAGGCCCTCACAAGAACAGATCAGGTATCTCTGACAACAGGCGTGACATGGAGTCGGAGACAACGTGAAGGAGGAGCGGGGGTACGTTGTAAAGTTGATTGCAGATGTGCAGCCACTGCAGGAAGGCTGAAGTAGCTTGAATTGATTGCCCTGTATGACAATTACCCAGGGCATGAGGTGAGCCGTCAGCTGATGCGGGCGAGCATTAGGATCTGGTCTGGCTGGAATGCAGCTAAGGCTGAGCTTTGTGGCTTTCCTCAAACAATCATTTTTTCAGCTGCAGTGGAAATGATATCATGCTCTCAAATACCAACGTTATTAAAAATTTCAGTCGTGCAGCAGTTATACTAACAAACATATTTCTGCCTAATTCCACAGCCCACCATGTAACATAAGCCATTTTTCCACTGCACAAACTTCCCAGTGACCAGGATCTGTTCGCCGTGGGGTTAACTTAACTTCCAGGAGATTTATTCTACTCTGTTCAATGTGACTCATTCGCAAAAAGTTTGCAACCTTGGGGGCGGTGCTGGCAGGCTAAGGTGCTACGTGCTCAGGATTGTTTGCTTTTATGATCTATCCAATTTACTTACTTTTTAATTACTGGAAGAAAGTTCTTGTGACAGAAAGGTCGAGTTACTGCAGCTGCAAAGACTCATTTTACTCTGTTTGTAATGCATTGTGTATGAATTTATGAGATGTTGTACAGCCAAATGCAAGCTGATTTTTAACTAAATTATAGGAAATTAGCTGGAAATTACAGGTCACATGATTCACAGATGAATACTGTATATTCTTAGACATCGTAGTGCATTGATTACACACCTTCTTCCTGTTAAAAGGAGTTTTTCCTTCCCATTGTTGCCAATGTGTTTGCTCATAGGGGGTCATATAACTGATGGTTTTTCTCTGTATTTATCATTGTAGGGTCGACCTTACAATATAAAGCTACATGAGGGGACTGTTGTTGTGATTTGGTGCTGTATGAATAAAATTGAATTGAATATTGATGTAGCTATCGAAGGCCATCACAGACGAGGGATGTAAGGGAAAAAAACAAAAGACTGTTTGGAGGTTTGACAGGTCTGTGTGTGCATCAGAGCTTCATAGACTTTATGTGCTGCTGGTGGTGAAAACTGAGGGGCTGGAAAGATCTGATACTCATCCTCCCTGGACTCACTGCATCCAACTTTGAAGTGTCACTAGCATCCTTAGACTGGCCTCATCAGTAGGTGATGCCCTTTGAATCTATTATACTAAAGTGTATGCAGATAGCGAAATGCAGTTTGTATCGCTGCCAACAGGTGTCACAACTGGACTCTGAATAAACGCTGTTTGCATGTGTATCTGATCAAGCTTTAAGATGTTGTGCAGTAGTAATTAACTTCAGATTGTTACAACACTGTAGACCTCTTGCTTATAGACTAGTGTATGAGTAACCCATGACTCTATCGCAGATGGCTCGATATCCATAGAGTTGTTGAGGTAGACCTGAGGTCTTCCTGAATGAATATGTGAGAAGAAAGAAATCTGGCCGGCCCCTCAGTTTCCACTGGCAGCCTCACAGCAGCTGGATCACCGGCTTCAACATGACAGAAGCTCTACTAGCCTCTGAATCAAAGCTAGCTGTGTTTCAGTAACTGTTGAGGAGCAGTCAGCAGGTTTTAGACCCACATGTTACTCAGTGTTACACCGAAAACGTTAAAGCAATTTCCATGAGAACAAAGTTATGTCGGAAAGAATCTGTAGGGCTCCTCTCTTGCGGTTGCCTCTCCCATCGCCACTGAGGTCAGCGGTTTGAACTCTGAGTCGCTTAATTTTGTGTCGCTGACTGTAGCCAGCTTTTAGCACCGCACTGGTGGAAAACTAGTATTAATAGTCTGGCTTTTGGCACATACGGTCGATATACTTCAGCAGTTACTTTGCTCGTTGTTGACGTGGGTCAGACACGAGGGTCAGGGTTTATTTTGATTTTTGAAATTAGAGTTAAAAACAGGTTGTTAACGGGTCACCGGTGACCTGGTGGACGTTAAGACCACCCTTGTTAACGAGTTCTTTAATGATAGAACAGGTTTTCCCCTTTAAATCAGATGCATATTTAGCTTCTTGACTTCCTTCTTGACTTTTTAGTACAAACAGAACCAGACAGGCTGTTGCTCAACCTGACCTGTGCAAATCCTCTTTACTGCCTCAGACTTTGATTAAAGGTTTCAAACAATGTTTCCTGCTAAAATTTATGAGACGTATAAAAGACCTTCTGGAGAGCAAGAATTTTGTGCCGAGGATTTCCTGCAAGAACTTTGCTTTGTGGACTCATAACATCAGTTATTTAAGGAAGTGAGAGAAATGCAGTGAGTTGCACAAGCTATCAGGCCAGCATGGGGGAACTCCACCTTTTTATAGTGTGATCTGGGAAACGAGCTATGATTTGGCCTGGCATGAAATGGACAGCAAAAACCTGCGGCTGTTATTCAGAACATAATCGAAGCTTTAGACAAACAGAAACCAGAAAGCACTCACTGCCCCTGCTTTGTTTTATCCACAGGATGATTGAGAAAACTGTGTTTCCCACCAGTCTGAACTCAGGGCCCCGATCCAATCTCCAGCATGGACTGGACTTTGACTATTATATCTTACATATGTTGCCGTAGGGCTGGAAACCTCGCGTCACCTCTACAGTATGGGACTAGCTGTCTTGGAAACTGTGCTCTTCTCTTGTATGCTTCACCACATTTACATGAGTCAACCTGCATGTTCATGTTTTTGAATATGGAGGCCTGCAAAGAATTCATGGTAGTAATGAAGTTTGTAATATCACAAATTCTTATTCTAATTTTAACTGAGAAAAAAGTGACTTTCATGTGACGATTTTACAAATTATTTTTGTTTAACTTTTATGAATTTTATAGACATGATGTTTCCAACCATCTGTTATATTAAAGTGCAGCGAGTGTGCAGTATTAAAGAGCACAGGCTTGAGCATTATGGTTTTCTAAATAAAGATGCAGCATGCTACACAAGTGGTGGAGAGCCCTCAAATTGCAAACCTGTTTTTCTCAACTGGCTTTTTTTTTTTTTTTAAGTGCTTTTTGGCTTTGAATACAAGGACCTATTTGGGCCACGTTAAGAAAAAAAAATTATTGATCAATTTAAGAATAAAAACAAAATTTTAAGATTAAAGTTTAAATAATATTTTGAGAATAAAGGAAAGAAATGTGGAAATTAAAAATGTCTTGCGTTACGTTATTTGTCTTTTAGCTCATAAACACGGAGCGGTGATAATTAAAAAACACTGAAGAGATGGTGCAGAAATCTGCAGCTGATCAGAAGTTAAAAAAAACAAACCGGAACCAATGGCTGGCAGTGGACGCATGCAAGGATACCGATGGCTATGCAATAAAGATGGATGTCATATCACGATGAGACAGCTGATCGAGTTGTTTCACTAAATCGTCTACACGAGGCATTTTGCAGAGGTTGCAGGAGCCGTGGCAGTTGTTTGGCTTTAAACAACAATTGTAATCTTCACATTTCAACTTTATTCTCAAACTAGTATTTTGAGTTTCATCTGCAAATTCTGACTTTAATCTCAAAATGAACGCTAATTTCTTTTTTTCTTAATGTGGCTGTAATACTCCTTCGTGGTTGAGCTAAAGGGCAATATGACTTTGTGCTTTGAATAAAACCAATGAATGTGTGTTAAATGACGATTGCGCTTTGTTTTTGTCAAATTTTAAGGTGGGGATCTAAAACTGGGATTTCAGCTAATTAAAGTTTTACTGTGTGCAGAGGAACATACAGTGTCCTAATTAGAGCTTAATGTCACAAACCCAGCTGGGGTTCTTCTTCAGGGAAAGTCAGTTATAAAGCCTCAAATCACAATCACATTCACATCATTAATGCATTTTAGAACATAGGAGCAATGCAACAAAATTTGGGGAAACAATTTTTATTTTAATGCTTTCAATATTTTCAGGAAAGAACTACTGAGACCAAACTTGATGCACTTCAGAGAGTGTGCCTGTATTGCAGATACAGACTAAGAAACAGACAAATTTTGACGATTTTCAAGTTTTATATTGTTTTTTTTTTCCCCCTAAAATTGTATAATTTAAATTTCACACATATAGTCTCTTTGGGTAAGGGACATCAACTTTTAAACATATTAGGAACAAACTTTTTGTTTTTCCTAACTGTAAGCAGTCACACCCCAAAAGCATTCCAGTTGTGACATTGTTGCAATACCCATTAACCAAAGTAACACAATTAAAAGGCTCGTGTGTATTTTATTATTAAATATAACAATTTCAGCAACGCAAGATCAGTTTGGCTTCTTGATTATAGCACATTTAATAGATTTTACAAACGACAAAGTGGCAACAGAAGCAAATGGAACAAAGAGACGTTTGTTTTCACTTAAAATAAACTAAACTAAACAAACCCCTAAAAAGCAATTATGCAAAGCAACAATGGATTTTCTAGGATAAATGCAATTTTTTTAACATGCAGCCATACAGCTAATACATCCTTCATTAGCATTATGTGCAAAATTCACAAATGTTGAACAGATTGTTTTTTATTTCTCCATTTTCATTGAGTGTATGGTATAAATAATGCACAGAAGTATATACATGAATACTGAACATTTCTCTTAGTACTTATTATAATATACTATGTGCTGCACAAGTCATATTTCAGCTTGGAATTGAATTACATTCAATTCTTTTTCTTGTAAAGTCATATTGACTAAAAATGTGCAGCTTCAAGAGAATAAGCTGGCAATCAGATCAGAGGCTCTGAACCTGTTAGTACTCCTTTTGTCTTACAGAAGAAGTTTTTTGTTCGAACCACCGCAGAACATCGTCTTTGTTCTCTTTGACCCACTGGATGTTCACTCGGGTTTGCTCGATGGCCAGAGACACGGCCCAGGAGGCACCACCCAGGTCGTAATTTTGAAAACGCATGAGCTGTAGACACAAAGGGGTGAGAAAAAAACACAAAGTTAGGTGTTGGCATGACACAGCAGCATGTGAAAGACCGTTTCTGTTCTTTTTTCTGCAGCTATCAGTTTTTGAACATTATTAAATTAAATACAATACTTGAAATATAAGCTAAAGTAGTATAAATAATGAAAATGCTATAGACAGTGAATAAAACAATGATCTCAACATAATTCAACAATGTTGAAAGTAATTGGTGCAACAGTTAAAATATTTGGAGTTAAAAAAAATATATAATTCATAGATAAACTTAAAAGATAAAAAAGAAAATGTAATTATGCTCTCATGAAAAAATGATTAAATAAAATATTGAATCTAATTTACACATGTTGAAAAGGATACAGATATGTTGGAGTAATTAGCTAAAAGAATAGCTACAATATTGTAATTAGCATTTAGATTTAAAAAAAAAGAGAGAGCTAAAAGCAACAGCATGTGAAATTACATTTCTTTCCCTTTTCTGAACAGCTGTGAATGTTGGAAATGTTGAAAAAGCTCAAATAAGTAGCATAAATAATGAAAACACCACAGACAGTGTCTTAAATAATACTCATTTAGTAATGTTTAAAGGCCAAAAGTATTGGCAGGTAAAATGTTTAAAATTATCTTCAGAAGGTTAAAAAAGAAAATGTCATCTTTATAATCATAAAAAACGGTTAAATAAAATATTTAACTAATGTAAGTTACATATGTATTGAAAGATAAAGATATGACGAAGTAATTTAGTTAAAACAACAGCTAATAATTTAATTACCTGAAACATGACATGATATTGAAAAAGTGAAAAGCAATAGTTCCCATTGTTAAAATATATCTAAAAGTAAGTTATGAATGTTTAAAAAGCTAAATAAATGATAAATTCAACAATTAAAAAAAAAGCTAAAGATCTGAAATAGTTGGAAGTAATATAAAAAAACTAAAAGCAATGATTAGAACAGCTAAAGTAAAAGAGTAAGATTAATATAAAGTTAAAATAAAGAATGTTGATATGTGGCTAAATGTAAATGTTTGCTGAAAAAGGTAAAAGGGCGGCTGAAGGTAAATAATATGTGAGTAACCTGTTATGTAATTGAATAAATATGAGCTGAAATGTAGTTGAAAAATAAGACATTCAGCTTTTGTCAAGTGAGATTTCAGAAACCAATGTGTCATCTGTAGCAGTTAACTTCATACAAATAAAAATGACCATGTTAAATGTGTTAATGAAGAAGAGTTTTGAGAACTGCTGATTAGTACAAGGGAAATAAAGCTAATGACACACATTCTGTGTCATCTGTCAAAGGTAAGTAAGATTAATTATGGAGTCATAAATAAATGAAGTATTGGGGTGTATCTGATTTGGTGTGAGCAGATTACTGGATTATGATTAAAAGACAACTTATACTCCTGCTGTTATATCATTTTAGCAATAAAAATGACTGGTAAATTACCTCTTCCAGTTCAAACTCTGTCGAGAATCTGCTGGTCACTCCTGCAATCAGCATCGCCCCGTCCCTGGTAAAATATTAGCAACAGCTTTCAGTGAAACTCAAGTGATTCATTTATAAGTGTTGATACTAACCATCAGTATCAACTAAGTTGATACTGATGGTTAGTTTTAGTTAGTTTTCATCTGTTTTACAGTATGAACTTGGTAATGACAGGTAATGATTAGTCAAGGAAAAATTGATTTTCAATCCCCTGCTGATTAAATAATTTACTTTAGATAACGTTCGCATGTCGGTGTGGCCACGAAATGACCCCC